AAAAAAAAACAAATGCAAACATAAAAAACAAATGCAAACATAAAAAACAAATGCAAACATAAATAACACATACAAACACAAAAAACAAATGCAAACACAAAAAACACAAACACAAAAAACAAATGCAAACACAAAAAACACATGCAAACACAAAAAACACGAACACAAAAAACAAATGCAAACACAAAAAACACGTGCAAACACAAAAAACACATGCAAACACAAAAAACACAAACACAAAAACCACATGCAAACACAAAAAACACATGCAAACACAAAAACCACATGCAAACACAAAAAACAAATGCAAACACAAAAACCACATACAAACACAAAAAAACTAATGCAAACATAAAAACCACATACAAACAAAAAACAAATGCAAACAAAAACACATACAAACAAAAAACTAATGCAAACATAAAAACCACATGCAAACACAAAAAACAACTGCAAACATAAAAAACAAATGCAAACACAAAACCACGTGCAAACACAAATGCAACAGAAAAGTGCTATATGATGCAAACTCAAAAACACGCAAACACAAAAAACACATGCAACAGAAAAACGCTGCAGTGAAAACACATGCAATTTCACTCCATGAAACGTAAGTGCTCCAGACCACTAGGGGGAGTCAAACAAAGAACAAATCATAAACGACACTTAGAGGAAGAAATATGTTTGCCAACTGCAAATATCACAAGAAGAAGAGGAAGAAAGAAAAGGTTTGTTTATACTTAATTCAAACAGTTTTTTTTTTTTGTTTTGTTTTTTTACAATATTATATAATACCATCATAGTTATGTAGGTAATGTTAGCGTCACCCTCACTCTGGCTCCACTCCACTGGCTGCCTGTTCATTTTAAGATTATTATTTTTTTTTTTTTAAAGTCTAAATCCTACCTCTCTGGGCTGCTTTCCTTTTACTCTCCTGCTCGGTGCCTCAGATCAGCTGATCAGCTGCTCCTGGAGGTGCTGAGGTCCAACCGGAGGCTCAGAGGGGACAGAGCTTTTGTCTGTTGCTGCTCCAAGACTGTGGAACGATCTTGCTCTTCCCATCAGACGAGCCCCTTCACTGTCCATTTTTTAAATTATTTTAAAAATATAATTTTATTCCCTGGCTTTTGGCAGAGCCTGAGACCTGCTCTGCACTACTGGTTTTAGTGGTTTTACCGTTTAAACTTATTTTGTTTGTTTTAAATGTTCTTGACTTTACACACAGCACTTTGTTGTAGATGAGGTTATTTTAAATGGCATTATAAATAAAGTTATCAATATTATCATCATCATCATCATCAATTATTATGATAGTAATCACCCCTGAAGAGCACTTGGGGCTTTGGGCATTGGACGTGAAAGATCCAGATGTGAAACTTACATTAATGTGAACAGAGAACAGGTTCCAGTGTGCCACAGAGTCGTCACACACTGTGGACAGTCAAGTTCAAACTGATACTTTGGGGAGAAAAATATTTTCTGTATTGGATAAAGCAAGTATTCAACAATAAAATAAAATAAAAAATAAATAAAGCATTTCCATTTTAAAGACAACATGGGGCTGATTGTGAGGTAAACAACTCAGACAACAGTCGTTACAGCAAATGCACAAGTAAACATCGACACTGGAGATATTTCTCTCACTCCACCCACTAAAATACATTTTCTGAGTGATAAAAAAGTGCTGAAACTCATCTTAATAAGAGCAGCTCATTGGCACAATCAAACGGTCTGTGTCTCAACAGAAATTTAAAAGTGAAAGTTGAAAGGGTTCATGACGAGGCCTCTTCCTGGAAAGGTGATGTTAACATGATCCGTGCTCCTCGTGCCAACATTCAGCCATCTGCCCACGTCTACAGGCTCGCTGAGGACAGCAATGAAAATGTACCATTCATCAGAAAACAGATGGTGGGATTCAACTCCTACGATGCGTCTTTACTTTCCTCTGCAGGAGGTTTTACAGCCACTTTACAACTTGAAACAGCCAGCCCACAGCCGA